CCCTGGTGGCACAGTGGTTGAGAGTCCGCCTGCTGATGCAGGGGAGACGGGTTCGCGCCGCGGTCTGGGAAGATCCCACATGCCACGGAGCGGCTGGGCCCGTGAGCCATGGCCGCTGAGCCTGCGCGTCCGGAGCCTGTGCTCCTCAACAGGAGAGGCCACAACAGTGAGAGGCCCGCGTACCAGAAAAAAAAAAAAAAAGGTAATTTTGACTATATACAATTTTACCCCTGTATATTTAGAACACATCTCCTAAGTAAGATATAATACTACTGCAATCTTTTCTGTGTAACCTGTTATTAGGCTTATAGAAACTCAATGAGATTAAAATGCATAATAGGCACTTTTTAAAACATTAAGCACTCTGCAAATGTTATATGTATTTCTATTATTACATATTTTGATTCATGTTGTATCCTTTTATATTAATACTGGTATGTAACATAACAGAGTACTCATGTAATAGAATGGTTTTAGAGACAAGGAACAGAACGTCCATTTCAAGTCTGCTTTACTGATAAAGGTAATTTATTGGTTCAACATATGAAAAGTCCTACAGATAGGGCAGACTAACCAGGACACAGAATCTGTTTCTTTGTGATTCTCTTGTCCCTCCTTTTTTCTCTCTGTTGACTTCATCCTTGAGCTGGTAGTGAAAAGGCTACCATAGTCTGCCATGACATGTCCACAGCCAAGCCATCTTTTTCCATGGCTTTCTGTTTTCCAAATACCCTCAGCAAACATCCCATCCTGTCTCCTTTGCTTACACGGAGTCATATGCCATTTCCTGAACCAATTCTTTTGTCCAGGAATGGTTGGCTGTCTTATGCCTGAGTTCCTACACCAATTATTATCAAAGACATAGAAGACAAATCAGACTCATTCTGGACCTGGAGACAGGTTTGCTTCCCCTGAAGTACTGGTGTTACAAGGAGTAAATGTAAATGCCTAAGGGTAAACCAGGCAGAAAGGTGCAATACATTCACTATGTTTATGAAGATTATGTGGCTTAAGGCAGGTAGAGCACTTAGATAATACCTGGGATATGGAAAAATGCTCAATAACCACTCTTTTGTTGGGAGGAAAACAAACCTATCTTTCTAAATAAAATTCTAGAAGTTTGGGGAACAAAGAATTGATGTCAAACCAAGGGAAATTATGGTCTCATATAAACTATTTTGTAGATTTTTTTGCTTGACCTGAGGTTAGGTATTATTGTATATTTTCCATTTGGATTTTGGTCAGTCAATATGTTTTAGTATCTACACCATGCAAGACATGATTTAAAATGCTGCATAAGACATTAAGTCTAAAATATAGCTTTCTCTAGGGGCCTGGAAGCCTAACACATGACATATGTTCTAAGTCAATGTACAATAATATTTTGAGTTAAGTGCTAAATAAGTTGAGGTATATAAACGTGCAAAAATAATATGTAAATACTAATATTTGTATGAATGTAAATATGCATATATAATATATATTTATGTAGTAATAGAAATACTAAATAAGTGGTTGACCACAGCAGTGTTTCAGAGCCTGGACACTAGATCCATTCAAACCCAGGGTTTGAATCCTGACTCTTGGAATAGTATCTGGGATTAGTACTCCTTCCCTAGCTTTAGTCCCCTCACCTGTAAAATGTACCTATCTCACTGGGTTGTTTTAAGGGTTAAATTAAATGAGCTAATCCAATAAGTACTGTCATTGCATCTGCTCATGGTGAGTGTTCCATAAAGGTTAGTTACTCTTAGAATCACCATCCTTGTTATGGTTTGGTTTTAAAGAATTCCAGAAAAAGAAATCAACTGAAATAGATGGGATTTGCTCTTAGTCTTAAACGAAGTGTAGGATTCAAACAGGAGACGAGATAGCTGGCCATGTAATCACAAGTCACACTTGGAAACTCGGTAAGTAGCCCAAACTGTCTAGGGGTGGAAATCCATGTAATAACAGATCATATTTGCACAACAACATCTCACAATCCTTCCATTTTTAAATTTAAATAGCTATTATTTCCCCTCACTCCCACCCACAACGCAATTCACATCTGCTTTCTTTTTAACAAGCAGGGAAACTGAAACTGGTAATTAAGTACCTCAAATCCCTTTTCAGAATGAGGCATATTCCAAAAGGGAAGAGACCTATTCTGATTTGCTATTGAAATTCAAGAAAGGAGCACAGTGCCTAGCGCATTTAAAGTGTCCCATGAATGGGTGATGATGGGGTAAAAATAAAGAACTTAATAAAATGACTTGCTTAGCGTTATCTGACCAGTAAACAGCAGGGATGAAACCGGACAAGAACTGGAGCCTCCTAATTCCTGAACTTTTTGTTTCCTGTGACACCTGACTCCCTCCATGTAAGGGAATTATGAGATAGGAGATTGGTAAGGAGCACCTCTGGAGAGTGCAATGGTCAGGGGCTCAGGTGAACACATAGGAATTGATCCATTATGTTCTAAGGGACCACACAGTGTAGTGGGGAGGTGCACAGGTCTGGTTAAAACCTCAGTTCCTCCTCTTACATGGTTCTGTGACTTTGGGTAAGTTATTTAACCTTTCTGTATCTCATTTCCCTCATCCATAAGAAGGGGATAAAATGATAGTATGTATCTCATAGAGTGGTGATGATTAAAGGAAACAATGCATGTAGACTACATAAAACAGTGCTTAGAACATAGAAAACACTCAATAAATGTTAGCAATTATTACTTAGAAAGATGGAAGGACCTATATTTTAGAGCATCTGCTGTTTTTTATTTGCCCCACCCCCTCACTCTGGCCCCTTGCCTCTAGAGAGGGCATGCAACTCAGAGTTCTATGGCTCCCTTGTCAATGCCTTTGATGTTTGCTTTTCCAGCTCTAGGAAAAGTGCTCTCAAAGAAGGAGATGGTCCCTACTTCACTGAAATTGCTGAAATCACTCCAGGGAAGCAATCACCTACCTCATCAAACCCATACCAGCTACACAATTTGTAGAGCCCAGTGCAAAATGAAAATGTGGGGCTTCTTGTTCAAAATGTATTAAGAATTCCAAGACAGCAAGACAGAGCATTAAACCAAGTATGGGACCCTTCTGAGCCCATGTACAGGTTGCACACCCATGAAGCCAGGCTTGCAGATGCTTTAAACTTTCTACTTCACCTTTTTGTCTTCCTTTGGAGTCATCTTTTATGACTCTGGCCCCAAACACCTGGCAGAAAGTGTTTCTCTTACCCTTGATCTTTGCATTAAACTTGCTTTGCATTTTGGAATCCAAATACCTGGATAGAAATTTGGATTCCACCCCTACTGGCCTGTACACTCATAGGAATGATGCTTAACTCTCTTTAATTCTATTTTCTCATTTGAAAATTGAGGATAATGATAATCATAGCAACCTTATAGACTTACTATGAGTATTGAAAGAGCTAATAATTTTAAAGTTTTTAAATAGTATCTAACACAGTGGTTCTCCACCCTGGCTGCATATTAGAATCACCTTAGCACTGTTAAAAAGTGCCACTGTCTGGGCCCCAGCCACGACCAATTAAACCAGAGCCTTTGGGGGTGAGGCCAGGACAACTATAGTTTTAAAAGGCCCCTCAAGAGATTTGAATGAACAGGAGGGTTGGGGACCACTGGTCTTGTGTATGACGAGTGCTCAATAATAAATAATAAGAATAAATAATAAATGCTATAATAAATTTTAGAATATAAATAGTATAATAATAAATAATGTTGGCCAGTTATTATACAGCTTGCTAAACAAAGAAGTAAAACGTCCTATAGTTCAGTTTTCCCCCTGGATCAACTATGCATCTGGCTTCTTTCTCCCATTCTCATGTGCTTTGATCCAGCATGTACCTGCAACCAATATAAATCAAAACAAAAGATATCTTGCGGTGTTCCCGCTGAGACAAAGGTACCTTTGAATACAGGTCTTTCCATTAACCCAGAGACGAGAGGGGAAATGTCAATTCCTCCAACAGGGCTCCTTCCTTTGATATCAGGGTGGTGTATATTCCAAAAGCTCTGTACTCTGCAGGTTTCGGGGGGCAGGGAGGACTTCAATCGAGTCACCAGAGATCCCTAAATAATGCAAAGCAAAGAGAGACAAGGAGGTGGTGAGAATGTTAATTTCTTAAGCTTGTATTTCTCTCCCATCAGAGTGGATAATCATCTCTTTGAAAATGCCCTTGTGTCATATTTATGATGGTGACACATCCATTATGAATACAGTAGCTCATTTGCAATATGAACTGACAAATATTGATGTGTTCTAGGCTACATTTAATTTCAAGGTAACTAAACTCATTTGTGTTTCTTAGTAACCGGGAAGGGTTCTGATCACATGAAGCTTAAAATAGTAGGGTCCTTTATGACTCGTCCTTCATAGTGAATCTACTAATCGGGACCTGGACAGGTGTTGAGGGAGGAGCTGGATGAGTGGTCAGCTGAGTCAATTTGACCTTGAGGTCAAGAGGATCTCACTCTCAAGCTGAGGTTCATAGATACATTGTTGGAGGGGAGCTGGCTGAGTTAGTCACAAACAGTTTCTTAACTGATATCCATTGACCATCTCCTCCAGCTAAATAATAGGGTTACAGATCCACAGCTCCTGGGACTCAGAATATAAAAGCCGATTTGTGGAGGCCCTCAAAGGCCCAAGTCCCAGCATCCAAGAGTCAAATATATGTTACATTTGCTGAGCCTGTGGGTCTAAGAGAAAAGAGCAGATCCTGCCCAGAGCTATTTATGTTCTAGTTGGCTCCCTAAATTCTAAGCACCTGAGAAGGCAATTCTTAAGCGATATTACAAGATAACACAGATTTAGAGGGCAAAAGAATTATCATAGTCAGGACAGTGTTTTTAATAAGTTTTGAAACCATTGTGAGTCCTGAAGTTAATTTAGTAGGTCAAGACAAACATTTCCTTTTAGAATAGAATAGACTAGATCGAAGTAGACTAGATCAGAGTGCTTTCCTTTCAGTTAAGTAAATTGTTAGGATTGTTTTCTGAAAGTTTAGCTTCATTTATCTATGTTTATGTGTGGGCATGTTAGGTCGCAATGTAGAATGGAATTTTTTGCTGTGGTTCAAGGTCCAAAAGATTGAAATTCACCATATTAGTAGACAGTGTCTATTCAGGGCAGAGTTTACAAACTGGGGACTCGCAGGATACATATGGCCCATTAGCAGTGAGTGAATCGGGAGTTTTATTATTATTGTTGTTATTTTGTTCTGTGGTTCACAAAAAGAGGTTGTGAAAAAATATGAGTTGATGGCCAGCAGTTAAAAGTCAGGAACTTTTATCTTTTAAAAAGACAATTTTTTCAGTTTCTCTTCAAATACCAGAATATCTAGAAATAATGAATCTGAATTCTCACAGGCCGGGATAGCCCAGGTAAATTGTTTTCCCCAAAATGAAAAATCTGATAGGTAAGTCAAGTGGATCCATTTCTATAATATTTTCTATCCCTGGGTCCTTTGACTTGACAGTGATTTTTTATCTGCCATATGCTCCTGCCTCAACCTACATTTCTGGCCTTATCACTCACCCATCTTCTGTTCTAACCAAATTAGAGAGTTAACTTATCCAAGGATAGTTCCCACATCCTCTGACTGTTGCACTCTCTCCTCCCCAGCCCCTCTGTCAATTGAATGAAACATTTACCAAAGCCCAATTTAACTACATAGACCTACATAGACCTTCCAGAAAGCCTTCCTACCTCTTTCTTTATCTCTGGTAGTTCCTATCCCTGAATTCCACATTGTACTTCTTTACTGGTCTTGCAGTACTCATAATGCTCTAAGATATATCATCCTTATTTATCATCATCTGTCTCTCTGAGTAGGTCATGAGCTTGCTGAATGCAGAAACCACGTCACATTTGTCTTTGCTTTCCCATCCCATTGCTCAGACCAGTGAATTGCATAAAGCAGACACTCAATAGCTGTTTGACAAATTGCATTACAAAAGACTTCAACATAAGGTTATTAGTTGCAGCATTGTTTGATATAGCAAAAAACTGAAAACAATCCAACTGTCCATCAGTTGAGTTTGAATAAATCAGCTATGCCACCTCTATACAATGGAATATTCTAAGGCTATGGAAAATGATTTAGATCGATTTTTGGTGACGCAGAAAGATGTTCAGGACATAATACTAAGTAAGAAAGCAATTGACAGAACTGTAGAGAGCGCATTATCCAAATAATTTTTAAATAGACACTTCTAGGTATAGAAAAGATCTGAAAGGATATTCATTCACCTCACAGATGTTTCCTGAATGCCTACTATGAGTTAATGACTATTCTAAGAGCTGTATGTATAAGAGTAAACAAAGCGAAATGTCTATGCACGTGGAGTTAGCATCCTACTAGGGGAGGGGACAGAGAGAAAAAACTGTATTTAAGATAATAATAAGTGGAACAAAGAGAAGTAAAACAGGAATACTGAATAAAGAGTGATATGGCTGGTACAGGGAACATTTCAATATTATTTAAGGTGTTTAAGAAACACCTCTCTGATAAGAAATTATTTCCCCAGAAACCTGAAATAAGACAATAAGTCATGTAGGTTTCTGGAGGAAGAGGATTCCAGGCAGAGGGAACAGCAAGTGTAAAGGTCCCAAGGTACAAGTGTACTTGGCGTGGCAGGATAAAGTAAGTAAAAGGAGAGAAGGTTGGAGACGAGATAAGCAAATTAATGGGAAACCATGTTATGTAATGCCCTCTAAGGGGGTTTGACTTTTATTCTGAGTAGAGTGAAAAGACTGGCAGGCTTTCAAAAAATTATCAAGAAATTGGTAATGGACATATTGAGATGCCTATAGGAGTTCCAGATGGGAGGTAGAAAGTTGGATGCATGATCTAGAGTTCAAGAGTGAATTCTAGGCTGGGTTTACAGATTTAGACTGGTATTTAAATCCATTTTCTAGTTAGGTGAAACTACCTTGAAAATAAGTGTAGAAGGCAAAGAGGTCTGAGGTCTGAGCCATATACTATTTTGTCATTTAGGGAATGAAAGCTTAAGAGAGTCCAGCAAAACTTAGAAAAAGGGACTACTGAGCAAAGAGATAAAGGAAAGAGCTATGTGAAGGAAGCCTAGTGGCAAAAGTATGATATCCTCAAAGAGGAGGAGGAGATAAATTCTATCAAATTCTGCTCAGGGCTTCCCTGGTGGCGCAGTGGTTGAGAGTCCGCCTGCCGATTCAGGGGACACGGGTTCGTGCCCCGGTCCGGGAAGATCCCACATGCCACGGAGCGGCTGGGCCCGTGAGCCATGGCCGCTGAGCCTGCGTGTCCAGAGCCTGTGCTCCGCAACAGGAGAGGCCACAACAGTGAGAGGCCCGCGTACAGGAAAAAAAAAAAAAAAAAAAATTCTGCTCAAAGGTTGAATAAGAGGAGGACTTAGAAAAGGCCATTGACTTTTGTGACATGAAGATTACTGATGACCTGAATAAAAGCAATCTTGGAAGAATAGTAGAGACAAAAGTCAGAGTAAATTAGGATTTCAAGAGAGAAGGGGAGGCAGGGCTGACAGTGAGTTTATACAATTCTTTCAAAGCGCTTTCAGACTTAAGGAATATCAGACAAATTGAGACTCATTCTAGAAATCAACTGGCCTCTTCTCCACAAAAATGTCAATGTCATAAAAGATAAAGAAAGGCTGAGGAAATGTTCCAGGTTAAAAGAAACCAAAGAGTCATGTCCACTAAATTCTATATATGATTCTTGATTGAACCCTGGATCAAGGGAAAATTGTTAAACTGAACATTATTGAAAAAAATGACAAAATTTGAATACGGATTGCATTTTAAATCAGGATGTTGTATTAATGCCAAACTTCCCAAATTTCATCATAGAATTGTAGTTATGTAATGGAATGTCCTTGCTCTTAGGAAATATATCAGAAAATGATTCAGAAAAACACAGTAATTATATATACATTTATATATATATAAAAAAATAGATTTTTATATATGCAGGATATAAAAATATATATATTTATATAAAATCTAGATGAGGGGTACATAGAAGTCCTCTGTATTATTCTTAGCAACTTTCTGTAAATTTGAAATTATTTTGTAATAAAACTTTTTGAAAATGTTATAGTGGTTATTTCTGAGAAACGAAATAATGGATTTTTTTTCTATCTCCTTATCTCTATTTTCTTTTTCAACAGCAGAGATCAGTTATTTTAAAACATAAGTATTTTTAACGACATTTAAAGTATTTAAGAAAACGTATCAGTTAACTTTATCGACCACTCAAAAGGGCAGTGTTTTAATGATCTGAGCAAATACTTACTTCATGAGACATATTTATCAGATTTTTTGAAGTTATAGAACAAGATTTACAACAGATCTCTACTGATGAGATTATACACCCACATATGATACCTTGTGGGCCAATGTTCACTTCTCAAGAGAAAGGAAGTTAATACATTGGGATATTGCTTTAAGTATTTTAATGTTAATTATAATGATAATGCACTAAAATGAATTAATAATTTTGAATTTTTCTTCATTGAATTGCCAGAGGTTTCTTTAGGGCTTAAATTATTATTTCTATGTTTTATGTGTTGGCTTTACCATCACAGAGGAGAAATATGAAAAAGCAATTAACTATATCCTCCAGTCTCCCTGAGAAATTGCTATAGGGAATCTGTGAAAGAAGGGGCAGAGTTAGCACTATCACAGAAGATCTGTTTAATCAGATTCTCACTCTGGGGAAAATCTGGTTTAAAACCCCATGGCCATGCCTCTCTCTCGCCCTGTCACAGCTCACCCTTCCCCCTCCCCATATCCTCAAGTCCGTTCTCCAGTAGCTCTGTGTCTTTATTCCTGTCTTACCCCTAGGTTCTTCATGACATTTTTTTTTTCTTAAATTCCGGTGCTTTGTGACCACCTGGAGGGGTGGGATAGGGAGGGTGGGAGGGAGGGAGACACAAGAGGGAAGAGATATGGGAACATATGTATATGTATAACTGATGCACTTTGTTATAAAGCAGAAACTAACACACCATTGTAAACCAATTATACTCCAATAAAGATGTAAAAACAAAAACAAAATCCCCATGGCTAT